ACAATACTAGGTACTTTTAACTTTATTGAATATTGTGTGACCATTAGTATTTTGCAGTATTTTGTGTGATTGGTCAAATTATTTTTATTAGATATATTAAATAATATTTTTTAGTTGAAAAGTAATTTCTTAATATCCGTATTTTTTGCTAAAACAACTTATATTTTGAAACAGAGGGAATATATGCTAACTATGAACAACCCAAACCCAAAAGCAAAACCCACAGGCTACAACTATACAATTTTATACATTAATCTAGCAGTATTATGAAGTATATGATGCAACTAACGTATAGATCATATCGACTACCACATCTCTCTTGCAATTGTGTCATTTTAGACCGCTAAAAATACAGTCAAGTTCACATCCAAAATTTTTCAAGTCACAATTTTCGGATGTAGTCACAATATACACGGTTGGAAATAATTTTGAACAAAAATATGTATTTTTTGGTGTAATGAAATGGATCTTTGGTTTTTCAAAGTACACATATAATTAGCCATCTATCAATAACTAGATATAGTTATAAAAAAAAAAACAAATCGAGATAACTAGAATAGTGCACTTATCATATAATCTTACGCAACAATAATTGAATATTTAAATTAGATTAATGAAAAAGAAGAAAGATATTGTTGAATCAATTAAGTGAGTCTCTCTCTATTTAATTTGTTTTTTTTTTAATTTAAATCATACGGTGTTAAATAGTTAATAAATTAATTACCATAAAAAGAGTTCATTAATCTTGTATAAATTGATGGCATCAACGTAAATAAGATACTGGAGGATAGTGATCCCGATTGGGATAAGGATAGCTTTGATGGCCTGGAATATCATCCCTCTGATGATGATAGTGAGTATATCGACGAGGACTTAGAGAAGAGGACCCGTTTTTACCATCGCACGGTCATCGAAACCAAGGTACCTACTACAATATATATCATAGTTGAGTCTCTCTGAAAAAGATTGAGTCTTTATTAGGTAATCACTGGTTTTTGTGTTGTTTGTTTGGGTTAAGGGTTTCTTTGAGCCATCGGATGATCTCCCACTTTGCCTCTGGGCTGGAATTTCTGTAGTTTGGGATCTGGAACAAGAAGTTCATGAAGGCGTGACATGTCGTCAGTTCTTAGCAGACATGGCTTCTCTGTGCCTTGAAAAATATAACAAACGAAAGGTAAAGTCACCTTTTTTACTTGTTTTAAGGTAATCATAATAGAGTATCCAAACCTGTCTGTTGTTTCCAGGGATTGAATGTGAAATTCGAGCATATCTTGAGGGCTAATTTCTACCCAGGGGGCTTCACAAAGTACTACATTACGTTTGCTGCAAGAGAGTCTGATTCTTTTGATGCACCTTTAGTGGAGTATCAAGCTAAGGCTGGGAGGTCTGCAGGCAAGACTTATCCCATCCTTTGCAGACCAAGTCCTACACCAAAATAGGGTATCTTCTCTCCTCTCCTATTCAGATCTCAACCTTTGTTTTGTTTGTGTTTATTGAATTTTCAAGCTTTTTCTCCCTGATTTGCTCTTGTAAATTAAATGGACTAGAACAGAGACCACACTTTACTGATTATATGATTTGGCTATGCAACACATCCTCTGGTTTTGAGTCTTCTCGGCCTGGATTTTTATTTGTGAGACTGTCATGCTTAGCTACATAGCGGGGTATGAATCAATGTGATTTCTACTAGCTAGATTTGGTTGGAAGAGCACTGAACTACTGACTGTTATCTCGTAAATAGTGGCGATGGTGAAGTATTCTGGTTTTGGTCAACTTGATGGCCTAACAAGAAGATACAATTCACATCTGATCTTACTATATTTTTTGTTCTTTGTCAATGTGCTAGTTCAAGGTGATGGAAGAGATCAATTGAAAGAGGCTTCCAAGGTGATGGAAGAGGGCAGTTGAAGAATTTTACTAGTATTGTTGTTTAGCCTGTTTTAAGTTTTAACTAATCTAGAAGCCTAGTTATTAAGAACTTGCACTATGCTCTGCATAAAAGACTATTGTGTATTACCTGGAATAAAAAGTATTTAGTTATTTTTGTGTTTATCGTGTATGGATTAACATGTAGTGTTTATGCATTATCTTTGTTCATGTATACAAGTATAATGTCTATCACTCTTGTTAAAGTTTATCTGGTTTGATATTTGTTCTACATTTTTTATATTCTGTTATGAAGATTATAGTAAACCTCAAATACTTTTTATTATAAGTAACAAGAAATTCAAGCTACTCGGAATTGGATGTTTATAACAAATAAGATAAGTAATTCAAAATTTTCATTGATCGAAATTTTTCTTAAAAATAAACAAAAGCAAATCATATTCAAAAGACTAGATCACCAAAGTCTCGGAATCTAGATACACGTCCAAAATACCAAATCACCAATATCTCGGGAGTCTAGAACTACTAGTAAGACTTCCTAAAAAGTTTGATTGATCAGATCTAAATCTGCTCTTTCGTGCAAATTATGTCGCATATTTTTCGTTGATAAAGATTTGGAAGTAACCTTTGCATGCATCCCCATGTATCACCGTGTGAATTTTGGCCAATGAAGTATAACTTGCCGTCTTTTGTCTCTCCATATCCAATGAGAATTATGCAGTGTAGACCGGTTTCCTTGGTGATGACCATTTTCTTTGGCAAATAGTAAACCCCCTGGAAAAAAGAAAAGATTCCATTATGTTCTGCTAAATAATCTATTCAAATGTCTAGAGTTAAATAACCAATATACCTCCTGAAAAGTTAATTTATTTGGTAGTGTTCCTGATGATGATTCAGCTTCATTCTTTTTTTTCATTGCCTCAGCATATTCTTTGGCCTGTTTCACTTGGTTTTGCCTTTTGCCTTTACCTCCTCCAATAGAAGCTGAGTACATCTTCTTCTACAAACCAAATAAATGATCAGTTTAGTAGAATGTAAAGATTTGATTAAAAGAACTTTTGTAGTCATTGGAAACCCAATAAAAAGAAAAGCTGAAATTTTTGAGGGAATCGTCAAGAGATAGAAAGGGGAACAAAGAGAAAGCTGAAATTTGAGAGGAAAAAAAACCGGAAAAATCAACAAAAAAAACCCACGAATCTGAGGAAAATCAGACAGACCATTTCTCTGAAAATTGTAGTCTTTTTCTTTGCTAACCTAAAAATTGTAATCTTTGACATGACTAATAGAATAAGATGAAAATTTGGCACTTACACCCAAAAAGGTCTAACCTTTAAGAAGGTGAAGAAGAAGAACAATGAATTTTTTCAAAAGAAAAAGACTTTCTTGTAATACGCAAGAACCCTAGCGGTTTTCCCCCAAAAAGATTCAAGTTTTGAAGTTCAATCAAAAACTCATAAATTTTTAGAAATCTAAGAAAAAAAACAGTGAGAAAACACCTCTTTTTCTTGTAAATGCAAAACAATGTAGGTTTTCTTTGTTGTGAAGAAGAAAGATTGAATCTTTATCATTAAACACCCATGG